TAACTTTTGCACCTTGAATGCCTGTAGAACTTGCAACGTGTACATCACAGAGATCTGCCAAGGGCTTCAGTTCTGTGGGGCCTACTGTAAGGGACCAGCGAACGACGGAGGAAGAGACCACCAAGAGACCGACTCATGCAACAGCAAAAGGGGGTTTATTGAAGATCCAGCATGCTGGGGCTCTGTGCTCACTCAAGGAGGGAGAGCAACCCAGAGCCCAGAGCCCAACTTGAGCAGGGTTTATATACATTTTTTTAGGGAGGGCAGGGACTTTACATACATCACAGTCCCCTTCAACAAATCACCATATACCTTCGGGAAAATCAAACAACAACTCTTGAACATGATTAGTACATTCATTGGCGGGAACAGGTCGGGCGGGGGTGATAGGTCAGTCCTAAGAAGGGGGGTACATTCAAACTGATTGGTTTGGGCCCTGAATGCCTACGTGCCAAACTGCACAGGGCCCAGGTTATTTAACAACTAAATGGTCAGGGGGAATATCTACTGGGCAGTCCCGTGAATTGTCCTAACAGCTACAGGAATTTCAGGTTTTGAGTGTAGCATAGGAGCTTAACAATACCTGGTCTTTTACATTTTAACTCAGGCTTTGCAGCTTAGAAGCTTTACAATGCCTGGTCTTTAACTTCAGTTTCTTTTATCCTTTCACTACTTAAACTACAGCTACAGTGGTAGTAAAGCACATTATCAGATAGTTGGAATCCTGAGGTGGCCTTGCCCAGTGAATCTGTAGAGAGCAACCCAGTACTTTCCCCCAACTCGACCCCGGTACTGGGAGTTGAACCCAGAGCCTCATGCAGACTAAGCAAGGTGTCTGCCACTGAGTCACACCTTCAGGCATTTCTATTTTATTTTGAGACAGGATTTTGCTGGTCTCAGACTTGTTATCCTCCTGACTCAGCCTTCTGAGTAGCTGTGATTACAGATGTGCACCATGTCCTCAAAACAAAGGAGGACCTAATCCATGGGGGAGACTGAGTTAAAGCACACTTAGCTACTCACTTGACAAACATTAAATAAGTGCTTGCTTATCCCCAAACCTGCCAGGATATAGGCAACCCAGCCTGGGCTCAGGAGCATATGCCAAGTCTGACTTCCTGGTGGAAGGAGTGTTAGGGGCTCAGCCTCAGATGTTCCCTGAAAACTGTCTTTCGCTCCTGCATTCCAGTCCTGCCTCCCATAGGCTCCCACAGCCCAGCACTGTCTGGGTTCCTTATCAGCACCTTTGGGGAGCAATCAGCATTTATCCAGATGTGAGTAGCCAGCATTCTGAGAGCACTGCTTCTCTTTGACCCCCACCCAATCAGCAAGCCTGCTGTGGATTTAGTTTTCCTTCCAGTGCACTCTGCTCCAAGCCATCACTCCAGCCCCTGCCTGGGCAGATGCTCTCTCTGCCCTGATTCTCCTGATCTAATTCATAGCTGGGCTGTGGGGCTCCTCCCACTCAGAGGTGTGTTACAAGCTTCTTCCAGTCTACTAGACAACATAATGTTTCTTTCTAATCTGGAGTCTGCAGTACACCACGGCTGGGTGAAGGTCCCCATGTGCTCTGCCACTTAGGGTAACATCTTACAGAGACCCTGGTATTGAGGGTAGCCAAGATAATAGTAAAAACATGAAATGAAGAAGCATCTCAGGAGTATATCTGTGTATATGTGTGTGTGTGTGCTTTTTTGTGTACTTGTGTATCAATATACAAATATATAGTGAAAGAGGGAGCGAAAAGAGGGCAGAGAAAATGGAGACAGAGTCTCAAAGTCTAGGGAAGCCAGGCATAGGGGTGCATGCGTAATCCCACTGGCTCAGGAGGCTGGGGCAGGAAAATTGTATGTTCAAAGCCAGCCTCAGCAACTTAGTGAGGTCTTGTCTCAAAATAAAAAATAAAAAGGACTGGGATGTAGCTTGATGGTTAAACACCCTTGGGTTCAACCTTTACTAGCAAACCAAACCAAACCAAACCAGAACCAAAAAACAAAACAAAAGTCTAGGGAAATGAGATACTGCTATATACCCATTCAATATAATCAGATTTAAAACCCATAAAGAAACTGACGGTGAGGATATGGAGCAATTGGCACCCTCATATATGGATGGATGGGAGGTAAAAACGATATGGTCATTTTGGAAGACAGTTTGACAATTTTTCAAAAGTTAAACGCACATTTATCATATGACTCAGCAATTACTTTCAGGTATTTTAAAAATATTATTATTATTATTTGTGGTACTGGAGATAAATCCAGGGATGCTCTACCTCTGAGTTATATCCATAGACCTTTTTATTTTTTATTTTGAGGCAGAGTCTCACTAAGTTGCCTAGACTGGCTTCAGATTTACTGTCCTCCTGCCTCAGACTCCTGAGTTGCTAGGATTATAGGTATGCACCACTGCACCTGGCCCTCTCAGGTCTTCACCCCCCCCCCCCAAAAAAAAAACCCAAAAAAACCCCCGGAAGCCTGTGTATACACATAGTCATGTCTAAAAATGTCCAGATCATTTTATTAAATAGAGGCCCCAAATGGAAGTCACTCAGATGTGCATTAACTGGTAACATGTGCAGATGTGTACATGCAAGGCCACTCCCCAATAAAAGGGAAGAAATGCCACTTGAATCTCAAAGTCATTATGCAAGTGACACAGTCACAAATGACTCCTGTGCTATGATATTCTAGAAAAGGCAATCTTTGGCAACGGAAATCGATCAGGCAGTTGCCAGGGAGCAGAGGTCAGTGTGATGACGAACTGTGAATGGGCATGTGGGAACATTTTGGAGCTTAAGAAACATTCTAAACCTGATGTGGTGTTGGTTATAGTCTCCTACATTTACTCAAATTTACCAAACTTTGTAGTTCAAATGGGTGAATTTAATTCATGGAAATGATCCACAATAAAGCTCTTAAAAAGAGCTACTGAAACTACTGAAATTCTGAAAAATACTCTTGAGGACCCACTCTGGGAAACAACCTGTGCATGCTCAGAACTGAAAACCATACAGGGGCATGTTTGCAGCAGGAGCACAATGAATGTTTTCAGCACAGAGTGGAAGGATTATGCACCAGTCCCTGTACACTAAAAGGAACTAAAAGGTCTTTTCACCTCTGCAGAGATCCAGTCACCCAGGCTTACCGCTATCCTCGTCTGCCCCCTGGTGTCCAGGATGGGAAACACGGCAATCTTCATCTTGAGCCCTAAAGGGCATGGTGCCCTGTGGTTGGGCTTAAATGCACTGGGTGAAAGAGGGAACTTAGTTTCTTGGGAAAACTGGTGCCCCATGGAGGCAAGTTGGAGATATGGAGGGTATAGGGAGAGTCCCAGGGTCCATGGAGTGAGGGACACAGCCTTTCCATGACAGAGAGAAAATGCTTTGGAGGAACAAAAAGGCATATTGAACTTCATCTGGCACTTTTGATTACTGAGATAAAAGATGAGAGGGTTTCTGTTGGAGGGGCCAAAAAAGTTTAGGGACATCAGTGAGGTGAGAGGGAAAGTCAATCATGTGGATGCCATAGTCAGTGGGGGATGGTCAGGAGGCTGCAGATGAAATTCTGAAAGATTCTGGATGGACAGGCCCTCAGGGAGCCAGTGACAAGAATCTCTTCTGCTACCTGTCTGGACCTCCTGGCATGTCAAGGCCTCTTCCAGGATATACCCCACAGGGAAACATCTTCACAGCTGTGTTGTGATTGTGTCAGTGTGGGGTTCACAGTGTCTGCAGATCCACAGAGAATAAGAGGCAACTTCAGGACCCCACCTGGCTCTCCAGGATGCACCCAGCTGGCCCAGGCTCCAGAAGTCAATGGAAAAGCCCAGTCCTGCTTCTCATAAGTATGGGGCCTGTCACCTCCTTGGGACAGAAATAGATGGGTGTGTGTGTAGATTTAAATGTTAATGATGAATGACATTTAATCTCTAGGGACAATAGAGGGGCCCACTTCAGTGGCTAAGATGTATGCCTTGAAAGTTTGTGTGCTGCAATTTATATGCTGAAAAAACAATCTCCAATATGATAAATCATTAGTATTGTGATAAATTGGGCTTACTAACTGTATAAAAGAGGCCAAGAGAGATTATTCGCCACTTCTGCTAAGTGAGGATACAGTTAGAAGGTGCCATCTAAAAACCAGAGCAAGACATCCCCAGATAACAAATCTGCTAACACCTGGATTTGAACTTGACAGCTTCCAACACAGAGAGCAATAAATTTCCACTGTTTATGAGCTACTCAGTTTATTGTGTTTATTTGTTTATATTTTGGTAGTGGTACAGTGATCAAACCCAAGACCTTGACATGTTAGGCAAACACTCTACCACTGAGTTACATCCATGGCCCTTTTTATTTTGTTTTGAGCTCGGGTCTCCCCAGGTTTCCCAGTCTGGACTTGATAATTCTCCTCCTCAGCCTTCTGAGTAGCTTGGACTATGGGTTTGTGCTACTGTGTCTGGCTAGATTATTGTATATTTGTAACAGCAGCCTGATGGACTAAGACACTGGAGCTTCTGATATATAGGTTTTCTCTTAGGCTTTCTGAGATATGAGAACATGGGGGACTTGCTGAGAGGTGGGCAAGGGTTTCTGAAACCTAGGTCAGCACCACTTCGTAAAACATCTCTCTCAAAGTGGGAGGGTATGGAAACTTGCAGGAGAGGACAGAGAGGGTACAAAGAAAGAGAGGGGAGTAGGGAGGAAGGAACTCAAGCTCAGTGGGGGTGGAGGAAGGTGGGCATCCACTGGGCTTACCCGTCCACAGCTTCCTGGGGGGATTTACTGAGTGTGTCTAACAAGAGAGGACTCATGGCAGCCTGGGCAATGAACATCATGAGGTGAATTCCTCGTTAGTGTTGGCTGAATGGATGAATGAAGAGTGGATGAATGGCTACATGAATGAGGGGGTCAGCCCTGGCTCCTGGGTGGGCATGTATGGGCACTAAAGGCAGATCCCATTTGCACATAGCCCTTCCCTCCCTCCCTGAACAGGGAGCTAGAGCTCTGTGTGCTTCACCTTATCTCCCTGTAGCTCCTGGATCTTCTGAGGCAGGGTCTTGGTCCAGAACTGTAGCCTGTGGGCCTTCAGGGCCTTGCCCACAGCAGGCTGGATGTCCAGCTGCAGGTACTGCTGGTCCTGGTCGAACAGTGGCCAGTGGGGTAGGCCCTCTCCGTTGGGGTTCCTGTGCACATGCCCTCCCAGCAGGGAAGGGTGAGGGTCAGTCTGAGCTCTGTTGATCTCAGACCTGACCTCCCATCCCTGTTTAGGACTGGCCAGGCATCCAGGCAGGCCAGGGCTTTGAGAATGGGTAAAGTTTTCCTGATGTAGGAAAATAATGGTCTCTCACTAGTGTTGTTCTCCACAGGGCAGGGCAACCTGGTCTGTTTGGCCGTTCCTTGTGAGAGGCTGGCTCTTATGGTAACCCAGCACTATGGCTCCTCTCCCGGTTACCATGAGAAGAGAACAGTGACCTGCACCCACAAAGCAACCTCTTTCAGAGCAGGCCTTCATGTTGGAGAGGGAGCTAGGATGTGCTTAAGGCCACATGTGTGTTAATGAGGTCACCTCAGACAAGGGGAACAGTGGAGGACCCGTGCCCCACTGGGAGGCTGAGGTGTGCAGGTGTCCTCACCCATTTCGAGCAAAGTTGGCCCAGTACTTCATCATCCTTCTGCTCAGCAACTCCTCCTCCTCAGTGAGCTCAACTGTGGGAGGAGGAAGGCAAGGGTCCAGGTCCTGGCCAACCCTGTCCACTCCTGTGCCACATTTACAACCCCAGCCATAGCCTGGATTGATCCAAGGCCTGGATCCCTTCCATTATAGTTGGATCTGAAGTGTCCCCCAAGGCTCATCTGTTGAAGGCTTGACCCCCAGCTGGTTGCACTGTTGGGAGGTGCTGTAAAAGCGATGGATGTGACCTAGTTGAAGAGGTGGGTCATGGGGGCATGCCTCTAAAGGTATATTTTGTTCCTGGTGCCTGTATGTATTTCATTTTTTCTCCTCCTGACTGTCATGATGTGGGCAGCTCTGTTCTACTACTAACTCCCTGACATGATGTCCTGTCTCTCCACAGACCCAGAATCAATGGAATCAAGTGACCATGAACTGAAACCATTGAAATTGTGAGCCAAAATAAAATCTTTCTCCTTTAAGTTGAGTATCTCAGGTATTTCATCATAGAAGGCTTGACTAATACATCTTCCCTACCCCAATAGCCCTGGGGGATAGCCCCTCCCCTTGTCCAACTTGCCCTTACTCATTTCAGCCTCTAGCTGACTTGATCCTGGGCCATCTGGATCCAGAGGGTCCCTTTTTCCTTCTAAAACTGTGAGGTCATCTAAGAAACAAATATGCCATTTAAGTACCTTCCTCTGTACCCACTATGGACACCATGGTTGGGGTGGGGCAGGTTGAGGGAGCACAGGCTGGAGTGGTGGGGCTCAGATTCTAATTTAGGGACATCTTTTGAGCTGTGAGATGGTGAACACCTGATCCTCTTTCTGAGCCTTAGTTTCCTTGTGTGGACCCCACTGGTACACATTTCCTGGAGAACAAAGACTCACCTTGCTTGCCCCAGAAAAAGGATCTGAAGATAAAGAGAATCTCATCACCATGGTCGGCCTTCACATGGGGTGGCTTGATGTCCTTAAAAAAGTTAGGCCGATGCTGGAACTCGTAGAAGTAGACAGGGGCATGGGAACCTGGGGAATGGGGGTGGTCAGGAGGTGATAAGGTGATCCCTTACCTGGAACTCCCTTCTGAGTCACCCTTGATGACAAAATACATAGGTCCAAAGCTGACTTTAACCTGGACAGTGAAATGGGGAATCCCAAGGTGGAGTGGAAGCCATCAAAGGGCCTTCAATAAGTCATGGCCTTGGACTTTCTAGCTGTGTGATTTTGAGCAAGTCACTAACTCAGGTTCCTTGCCTATAAAATAGGGGTGTTTTCTGTCACACTATCCCTCAGGATTTACTGAGATGAGGGCTATCAAGTGCTTGGCATCAGGGGCCTGATAAAGACTAGTTCAGGACCTAGACATCACAATCTTCCTGTTCCCCAGACACCAGAGCTCTGAGCTGCCCTAGGCCATCAGGAGTCAGGTAAAGATATACTCACTCTGAAAATGTGCTACTTGGAGTGCAGGGATCACAAATATTAAGTCCTCCATCATTTCCTGGAACTGGCCTTGAAGAGTATCTGGGTCTTCATTGTCCCCCATATACTCCTCCATCAACAGGTCACCAAATTCAGCAGGCAACATCTAGCCCAGAGGGATCGGGGAGAGTCCTGTTAGGCAGGCACTGAGGAAGGGACACAGCAGCTTAAGGGTGGAGAGATTGGATCTGGGATGGGTCAGGGCATAAGGCAAACCTGTCAAGCTGTTGGGTTATCCCACTCACAAATGCACCCAGAGATCAACCTTTGTTGCCGGAAGTTGCCTCATGGGAAGGATATCTGGGGGTATCCTCTCAATATTTTTGGTACTGGTGATTGAATGCTTTACCACTGAACTACATCCCCAGCCTTTCTTATTTTTTTATTTTGAGGTAGGGTCTTGCCAAGTTGCTGAAGGCTGGCCTTGAACTTGGAGTCCTCCTGCTTCAGTTTCCTGAGTCACTGGGATTACAGGGATACTACACTTTGATCAGCACTCTCCATTTTTTTTTTTTTTTTTGCAGGACCCTGGGAGTCTCACCATCTGTGCTGCTCTTCTCTGCAGAGCAGCCTGCACAGTCCTTCTGTCTATTTTCTTCTGGGGGTGAGTGGTGCCCATGCTCTGGGTGGAAAGGGGAGGGTGTGCATTATAGTTCAGATTGACTTAGAACTTTAGGATGTGTTCCCCAAACACCTAGAAACTTGGAGCTAGGTCTCACCGAGGGAATGACCCAGCCATATTCATCATTGTTGACCCCAATGATGCTGGGGACAGGTTGAAAATCAGCAGAAGTCAGAAGCTCCTGGGGGTGCCTGGGCAGGAAGGCCCCATCTACTATACCGGGAATGATCTTGAAGGCCTGAAGGGGGCATTCAAAGTCATGAAGCACAGTCAGGACCTAGAAAACTTCTGATGTCTTCTAAGTGCTTTTCGCTCCTGTCTGGCCAGGATACTCATAACTGCCCCCAGAAATCCTATTCCTGGTTTACTACATCCAGGCCTCATTTCCAGAATACCTGGAAATAACTGTTGGGTGAAGTAACTGTTCCAGGGAGTTGGAAAGGCACCCAAATCATTATGCCCCATAGCTATCATCCCTTCTTCTTCCACACCCATGCTCATTTAGCCTGACCTTGGTAATAGCCAGCATTTCCTCTTCACTCTTGCCTCGAAGGCAGCTTACCAGGGCCTCTGACTCTACCTGCCCACAGTCAGACAGGTTGGCCACCATCTGTAAAGGCACCAAAAAAGGGCTGGATCATCCCTTCAGGCAAGGAGTGGGAATGTTGCCCAAGGTCTCAGCTGGGTGCAGGCACCACCAATATTTCAAAGGGTAGGGAGAGTGGATTGGTGCAGGTGTGAAATTATTCTACCCTCCCTGAACCTCAGGTGTCAGCCAGAGGAGCCATCACACCTGCTCACATGGTTCAGGGTTCAGCTTTACAGATCATAGAACGTATTCAACCACTGTGAGGTAGAGGTCTGTGGATTCTGACCCTTGAACCCCTTGCAAACCCTGGATAGGTAGCACTTCCCAAGGTTCCTCAACTGTTGTTGTCTTCAGTGAAGAAAGAGGAGCAGTGGCTCTGAAGGTGAGGGATGAGGCAGTGGGTCTGGGCTTTGGTGGTTGAGGGCACTCACTGTGGAAACTGCTTCAGATGAGCTGGCAATGAGGCTGGGCAGCAGGGCCACCCCACTCTCCATGATGGCACCATGAAAGAGTCCTTGGGACATTGGAGACACCACATGTGAGGACACACTAGTGCCACCTGCAGACTCGCCAAAAATGGTGACCTTATCAGGGTTGCCTCCAAAGTGGGCAATGTTCTGCTGGACCCAATGTAGGGCAGCCACTTGGTCCAGGTAGCCCCAGTTGCCAGTGGCATGCTGGTCTCCAGTGCTGAGAAATGCAAAGATGATGATCACTGGATGGTCCTCTATCTACTCAGCCTCCATTGACCAATCCAGACCCAAGCTCACCTGAAGAAGCCCAGAACACCTAGGCGGTACTGGATAATGACCACCACCACATCCTCAGTGGCTGCCAGAATAGAACCATCGTACAGGGATGCCATGCCTATAACTAGTGCACCACCATGGATCCATACCATCACCTTGGAAATCAAGAGATATACCACATGACTCCCACCCAGCTCAAACCCCTCCTGGGCTGCCTTATAGATTAAACACTGCTTTGACTTGTGCAGCTACCCACACAGACAAAACTCTAGCAGACCTCATGACCTGGGCCATGGGCCAGTGACTCAAGTTTAATCAGGAAGACCGAGTCTCCCATTGGTACATGGTACATCCCATTTACCAAAGCCTGGATCTATTACATCCTGAATCTTCTGCAAATTGGAAAGAAAAGGGATGTCTACTTAGAATTTCCAAGAAACATTAATCAAAATTATTCTCCACAAGAGCTCAAAGACAATCCATTGCTGTCATTTTTTTTTTTTGTGACCTTAGTGTAGTCCTTGTACTAAGGGGGTATCCTGGGAACAACTTGGTTGAATGAGAATGGTGTCCATTCAGTGGCCATGGTCTCTGACCTCTGGGAGTAGCCAGGGCCCTTTGAACACAAGCTTAAGTCAAGGCCCACTGGCATAAGAGGCCTTCTTGGATCTGACAGTAAGAGGTTTCTCCTCATTGTTCATACTGCAGTAGGACCCAAGCTGATCTTGTTCCTTCTAACCTTGTAGAACAAATGTACTCCCACTCCCCTGTCAATCACATCCTGACACTCACAGGAAGGTTAGAGCCCTCATGGGCATGAGCAGGCATGTAGATGTTGAGATACAGACAGTCTTCTGACATGGGGATGGAAGGCAGGGTCAGATTCAACAGCTTCAGGGACTGTGTGTTCATTGCTTTGGCATCCTGCAGACACCTGGTGATCAACCACGGTAGACAGTCAACCCAGCATGTGAACAGTGGTCAAAAGCAGACTTGGGTTCAGGTTTCTTCCAAGAAACCCCCTCAGGGTCCCTGTTACACCTGATGTCCTGTTCATACTTGATTTTTTCTCTAAAGCCCCTTCCCATTGAGTTCAAGGCCTCTGGCTCGGGGTAAGCCGGGATGGAGTCCAGACCTCCAGGGAGGCTTCAAGGTTGTTAAGCACTTGAGTCCAACTCCTGAGGCTGGGCAATCATGACTCTAGGGGACTGTCTGGGAAACACTGGCTACCTGTGTTAACATTCACCACTTATCCCTGTCCCCATTCAGGTCTGGAACAGTATAGATGTCCCCAAATGGGTGGTGCCAGAATGGATGGAGTTTAGTTTCCCATAGAACATAGTAGGACAACCCACAGACCAAGTCTAGACTCTCAGGGAACCACAGAGTCTTCAGGTGTAAGCACATGCATCTATTACTTGGCCACTGGCACCTGGCCCTGTGGGCTGGCATAGAGAATGCAGGGGGCAGATCCCAAAGGAGCCACTGCTGCTTCCCTCTTCAGGATTCTAGAGTATGTACTGCTGGAGTCAGGGTATTTTATAGGTTCTTAGAGCCAATCTGACCCTCTCCCAGACACATGTACGTACCCTGGTTGCAGAGAACATCTGGCATAACATGAGCTGGGACAAATTATCTCCGCAACTAATGTTCTCTGGGTGCCAAGGCCAAAGAGAGGAGCCTAGGGAAGTTAGCAACTTCAACCCTCTGAGCCTTAGCACTCTCACTGGAAGAATGCATGTGAGAATCATCCCAATGCAGAGGAAAATTGCCTGGGCAGTGTAGATGAAGGAGCCCAGGGCTAGGAGTACCCACCCCCACCCAGCCCTGAGGTTTCCCAGACCCCTGGAGAACTTACATGGCTGGGTGGGAGGTTCCATCCCTCACACCACTCCAAGGTTCAGGGGGCTCAGGGGCTGCAAAGCGCAGTGGTCCTACAGGTGGCTTGGCAAAGGGAATTCCCAGGAAGGTGTGGACCCCCGCATTGAAGCCCTTCACATGGACGAGGCTGCCTCGCACCTGCCCGGTGTGGATGGTCCGGATGGGGCTGACTGAGTCCTGGCCTGTGGGCAGAGAGATGCACTTTAGACTTTGGTCTGCTTAATTAGCTGCTGGCCTATAGTACTGTGACCTGGTTGGCCCTCCTTAGCTCCATCTTGTGGAGGGACTCTGATCTGCAAACAATGGCTTCACAAACCTTCTACCTGTCCCACTGTGACCCTCCACAATTGCCTCCTGATTCTATTCTGATGACATGGCCAGAATTAGTTTATCCATAGACACAGAGATCAGACTGAGGGTATGTAGGGTAGGATTAGGTTCACATTGAGGGAAAGAGGTGAACTCTGAGTGTAAACTAAAAACCACTTATGTGTGTCATTGAATGGATAGAATGTATGGTGCAGTAATTATTTTTCAAAGTTGGTATTAAAATCTACCTCTTTGCAAATTATAAAACTTATTACCATTCTAATAAATTAGAACATTTGAGTAGATATTTAATTATGATGAAAACTTCAACTGTTGTGGAAATACCTTTATCTATCTACCTATCTCTGTGTATATCCAAATACATATTTGTATCAATCTTCCGCTCTCTCTTTTTTTTTTTCAGTAGGAACTCATAAAAAATTTACCCATGATGTGATAGCTGGGGTTGCTTTCAAACAATGGTGCAAAGGACAGAGTGCATTTCAGATAATCTAGGTTGTGCCAATCCTGATACTTGTTGAAAGTGGCTGATGGACACATTGGGTTCATTAACTTTCCTCTCTGGCTCATATGAGGCTCGTCCCTCTGTGCTGTGTAGCTTTTGTGCAACCACATCTTGCTCTGTGCCTTAGGGTGCAGGGAGGTGTTCAGTAAGGCCACTGTCCCCCTGATGTTGTTGCCACCTGAAGTGGCTCCTACCTCTCTTGCAACTTCCCTTCACAGTCTCACCTTTTGCCTCTGCAGAAACTGACAGATCTGAGCCAGGTTCCATTAGAAAAAAACAAAGACAAGAACAGCCTCAGGGATCTCCTGCTGCCCTGCCCAGGGTGGATCCTAATGCATCAGTATGTGTCAACTGCTGTGGTTGAGGCTAGGCATGGCAGGCTCCAGAGAGGACAATCTAATAATGTCTTTCTTGTATGGTTTGGATATGGTTTGTTCACCAGTGATTCATGTGCTGGAAGTTTGGTTCCCAGTGTGGCAGCATTGAGGAAGTGGGACTATAAAGAGGTGGGGTGTAAAAGAAGATGATTGGATCATGATAAGTGTTTTTGGAGTGGGTTAGATATCACAGGAGTGCTTTAGTTCTCTGTAAAATGAAAATGGATTGTTCTAACAGAGCAGCCTGGCCATTCTCCAGTCTCTTGCTTTGCTCCTGCCATATGATCATCTCATAAACTCTCCTGCTATATCATGTCTTTGCCGTTTTATGACATAGCTTCAAGGCTCTCTCCAGAGGTAGATCAGGGCCAGGCAAAGTGATGCACTCCAGTAACACCAGAGACTTGGGAGGTTGAGACCGGAGTTTTGTGCGTTTGAGACCAGGCTCAGTAACTTGGCATGAGCCTGTGTCAAAGTGAAAAGCAAAAAGGGCTAGGGATGTTGCTAGGTGGCAGATCATCCTTGGGTGATGTTGTGTCAACCACAACAACAGACCAAAAACAAAAACAGAGGCAGACCAGAGAGGGCCACCGGATCTTGATTTTCAGTATCTAAAACTGTGTGCAAAATAACTATTTTATTTATAATTACCTTCTGTTGGCTATTTTGTTATAGCAACACAAAGCAGACTGAGACAGGAAATTACTACCAAGAGTGGGATTGTTACCAAAACAATACCTGAAACTGTGGAAGTGGCTTTGGAACTAGTTAACAGCCAGAGGTTGGAGGAGTTTGGAGGAGCAGTCAAGAAAAGTTTTGTGTTGCTGGGTGCGATGGTGCACAGTTGTAATATCAGCAGTTCAGGAGGCCCAGGCAGGAGAATTGCAAGTTCAAAGCCAGCTTCAGAATCAGCAACTTAGTGAAGCCCTAAACAACTTAGTAAAATGCTATATCAAAATAAAAAAATAAAAAGGACTGGGGATATGGCTCAGTGGTTAAGTGCCCCTGGAGTTATACTCCCTGTACAAAAAAGAAGAAGGAGAAGAGGAAAAAGGAGGAAGAGGCGGAAGAGGAGAAAGAGAAGTCTTATGCTGCTGTAAATGGAGAATTATCAGTAATCCTGTGAGAGTTCAGTCAACAAAGAGACTAGGAAGGAGCTAGAACCTCATAGAGATTGGTTAAGTGGTCATATTCAGAATGCTGATAGCAATGTGCTTAGTAAATGCAATCCTAAGGAGGATTCAGAAGGAAGTGGGAACCACAAGTCGGAAATTAGAAGAAAGGCTACATTTGATCACTGCAAACACTTGGCTACATTGTATTCATGCATAAAGATGTTATAGAAGGGCAAATATAACATTGATGACCTAGAATATTCAGAGAATAACATTTCTTTTCTTTTTTCTTTTTTTAAAATATTTTTTTTTTAGTTGTAGACACACACAATACCTTTATTTTATTTATTTTTATGTGGTGCTAAGGATTGAACCTGGGGCCTCACACGTTCCAGGCAAGCACTTTACCACTGAGCTACAACCACAGCCCCTCAGAGAACAACATTTCTAAGCAAAATATAGAAGGAACTATGTGGTTATTTTTGGTCATTTTAAGTGAGATTTGCAATGATAGTTGGCAAAGGAAAGCATACCTTAAAACATTGGAAATTTCATATCTGCTTACCTAAAGAGCAAAATGGGAGATTGGGTGAGAATATAGAGGATGCAAAAGAGATAACTGGGTGGGAAGGAGCCAGGCTTTCTCTGCTTCAAAATCATGGGAGAGAAGGCCTGAGGCTATCACAATCTTCCAGGGTGCCCTTGCATCAAGAGCCCCAAAGACCATGGAAGGAGCCCCAGCATTGTCTCAGGATTCTGCTCCTTGTTTTCTAGCAAAATGCTCTGGATCTGTCCAACCATGGTTCAAGAAAGCCCAGGCATGACTCCTGATGCCGCTCCAAAGGCAGCAAGCAACAGACCTTGGTGATGCCCAAGTGGAGCTATTTTGCAGGTGCAGAGAATCCAAGGGCTCTGCTGTCACAACAGCTTCCCCTGGGTTTCAAAGGAAAGTTCTGGAGGCCTTGCTGTTGGAGTGGAGTCACTGCAAAGATTCTTCACCAGAATGCCTAGTGAGGCCATGAGAGTGGGACCACTGCTCTTGAGACCTCAGAATGTAGAGCCACTGGCAGTGTCAGTGCCAGCCTAGAAAGCCACATGCCATGGCATGCAGCCCAGGAGAGTAGCCATGTGGGCTGCAACCAGCATTACCCCAGGGGTGGGGCTGCCAAGGCCCTGGGGACCAGTACCCTGCCCTGTGTCTAGGAGCTGGACTTGGAGATCTAGTGTCTTCTTTGGTTGTTTTCAGACTTGCTGGGGGTCTGGGAGCCCTTTCTACTTGCTATTCTCCCTTTTTGCCACCAGACTATCTGCCCTGTGCCTGTTTCAAGGCTGTATCCTGAAACCATGTAACTTGTTGGAAGTCATTTCCCTTGAATTTCAGATGGGACTTGGGACTTTGCACTTTGGAGTCATGCTGGCAAGGTTTCAGCCTTTGAGGACTATAGGCATGGAATGACTGCATTTTGCATTGAAAGAAGGATGTGAACCTTGGAGGGCAGGGGCAGAATGGTATGGTTTGGATATGGTTTGTCCCCCAAAGGTTGCTATCATGGATGACAGAACACCAGTGGGGTGGTACCTTTCAGAAGTAGGACCTAGTGATTGGCTCAGGACTGCCCTGTGGAGGGATTAAAGCTAGTTTTTCACAGTGGATTAGATCTCACAGGAGTGGGTTAATTCCTTTGAGGTGACTGTGAGTTTTTAATAAAAGAACAAGTTTGCCTCTTCCCTGTGTATTGCTTCTGCTCTCATCATGTGATCTCTCTCCCACAAAGTCCTATGATGTCATGCCATTGCCATGTTATGACATACCTGAGAGTCCCTTACCAAGACCTACCAGAGAGGGTCACCTGATCAGAGATTTTCAGGCTCTAAAACTGTGAGCTAAATAAATCTATTTCCTTTATACATCATCCAATGTCAGGTCAATTATATTGTTTTAGCAAACCAAATCTAACTAAGATATGTTCCAAGTCAAAAGGCACACTCCTCACGCACCGCATGTCTGTAATCCCAGCGACTCAGGAGGCTGAGGCCAGCCTCAGCAAATTAGCAAGGCCCTAAGCAACTTAGTGAGATGCTGTATCAAAATACAATGTAAAGGGCTGGGGGACATGACTCAGTGGCAAAGCAACTCTAGGTTTCCTTCAGTACCAAAAAGGGGGCATGGGTGGTACACACCTCTTCCCAGTAACATGTTGCCTACACAGAATTCCTTACTGGGGGAAATTTCTTTTCATGTAATGTACACAGACAGCATCCCAGATGCCTCAGGTTGGTGTTGTAACAGCAATGGACACAGTCTGCTAAAATGTCCCTGATCAGAGACTTGTTAAGCCAACAGCACATCATCCTTTCCACTTGATGGTGGAGGAAGCTGCACCATGTAAGAGTGTGAGGTGACTCCTGTGTTAGGAAGGGGAAAGTATGGTGCCCCAGAGGGTGAGTTGTGGTCATGTAGATGGAAACCAGGCATAAGAATAAAATCTCTCTCACTACTTCTCTCTCTCTCTCTCTCTCTCTCTCTCTCTCACACACACACACACATACACACACACACACACACACACACGTAAAGTCCTGGGCATTGTGTGTAAGACCCTGAGGCCTTGATGGTTCCTGTGAAGGAGCCAGGACTGGTGGGGATAGAAGAGGGTGGAACCCAAATCTGTGCTTGTGACTTGTTAATGATTATTTCTGATGGGTGAAGCCAAGACAATATTTATAATGGCAGCCATCAGTGAGATTGGGCAGCTCTCCTTGTCTAGAAAGTCCTAGTGACTTTTGAGAGGAGCCTGGTCAACAGAGGAAAGTGGGAAAGACCCTTTGAGAGTACGCCATGGGGGAGAGGTGAGTGTGGACTCCTCCTGGGCAGAGTGGGGAGGAGTAGCAGGACATAAGAGGGGCCCCACAGTAGAAGGCTTTAATGGAGGGTATCAAGGGCCCAGGACAGCCCAGGCATCCTGCCAAACTTGCCTAACTTCTGATTAGGGCCTGGGTGCTGCCTGTAGGTTCAGAGCCCCTTCACCTTTGCCCTAATGGCCAAGCCATACCCTAGATCAGGTGCATAAGATGAGGGGAATCCAGTGACATCCCAGATCCCCTTTAGGACACAGTGCCTGAGGCCTTCTGTATTTCCCCTAAGACAAGTAACCTTTCTTGGAACCCCTTTGAGAGGGCCAGCTCACCCCTCTGGCCAAAGGCATGACCTAGAGCCAAATGGCAGCAGGTAGGTGTTCCTAAGCGGCTGTTTTTCCCATTGGCAGCTGGAGCTCCAGCACAGCCCAGCACTCAGTGTGTCCTGAATGCCCCGTCCAGAGACAGGGAAGGTGGCTCTGCTCTTCTGGGTTCCTCAGTCTCCCCTCATACCCTACCTTCTCCTTGGTGTTGGTGACATCAGGCTGACTGACCCTGTCTGCACTTCAGGGGAGCCACCCTGGGCATTTGGGGGAGCCCAGGGTGGCTGCACATTTTTCTCTGTCCTGTCCTCTATCATTTCCACCAGCTCCCCCCTCTCTGGTGCCTACCCTCCTGCAGCCTCCGTCTTTTCCTCTACACCATTTGGCTGATGGGAACACAAAGTCTGACATCCCAAACCCCTATGTGAGCCTTACCCTGGCCTTGGAGGAGGAGCAGCAGGACCCCACAGGCCATGATGCCCAGCTGCCCATGAAGTCTGTGCAGCCACATGGTCAGCTCCCAGGGCTGTTTCTGTGCTGCTGTGGTTGCTCTGCTTCAGAGGTCAGCACAGAGCAGGAACTGGGCCCAAATGGAGTTTGGACCCGGCAGGGAGGAGGCAGAGCAATGAGTGGTGTCCTGCAAGCTAGGCACAGCGGGAGAGGCATGCAGAACCTGCAGTGGATACCAGGCTGGACAGGGCTGCACTCCTCTGTTAGCTCCAAGTGCTGCACAGCCCCTGCAGCTGCTCTGAGATCCCAGGAACCCACTCCTCACCCCTGGAGTTATTAATTTACGGTCCTAGCAGCCACTGGCTCTTTTAGGCTACTGTTTTTTTTTTTTTTTTTTGCTGCTGTGCCCCAAAGACCTGACAAGAACAACATAGAAAAGGAAAAGTTCATTTGGGGCTCATGGTTTCAGAGGGCTCAGTCCATAGAGAGCAGGTCCATTGCTTAAGTCTCAAGGAGAGGCTGAATATCATGGTGGAAGGGTGTAGTGGAGGAGAGCTGCTCAAGACATATCAAGACATACCAGGAAGCAGAGAGAGAGTGAGCTCCACTCAACAAAGACAAAATTCATACCCCAAGGCATGCCCCAGTGACCCACCTCCTCCAGCTCCACCCTCCATGGCTACAGTTACCATCCAGTGAACCCTCATCAGGGGATTAATCAATGATTGGGTTAAGGTCTCATAACCCAATCATGTCACCTCTAAACTTTCTAGTATTGTCTCACATATGAGCTTTGGGGTCACCTCCTCTCTAAACCATAACACTGGCCCATGAGGGTGTTGGGGTGGAGAGGAGGGAGCAGTGGGCTGTAATGGAGGTGCCAGGAGGGCTCCTCTGAGGGGACACAAAATGAAGATCCCCACAGGTGAGAATGGTGACCTTGGGGGATGACGGGGACTGCCTGAGCAAACTGGGCAGTGTGACTGTGCCCGTGGTACTGGGAAGTCCTTCTTCCTCTCAGCATTCATAGTTTCCTGAGTTCCCTCCAAGGTCCTTGTAGTCCTGGTCTGAGGGTCTGTGTAAACCTGTCCCTAATTGGTCCTGGCTGCTCTGTTGAAATACACTGGTGACTGCAACTGTGACACTTCTTAAGAACCCACCCCTTCCACTTGGTCTCCCCCTACCCTGTGGCTTCCCCTGAGGACAGCTTCCTCTGAGGTTGAGTTTACTGTTATTTATGCACCTGATAAATGCTCTGAGGACTTTCTGGTTCTAGCACTGTGGACCTGTAGGGCTCTCTTGGGCATCTGGGGCCGCTGGGGAGACAGGCCCATAACCAGTAGTTGTCAAATCTTCTCGAATCCTGCAAGGACATAGGGAGTACAGCAGGAGACAGGAGTGCCTGCTCTGCCTGACTTCCTGGAGGAAGGGGTGTGGGCTCAACCTCAGATGACCTTCAGTACCTTCTCCTAACAGGCCTTGGCTTCTTCATTCTAGCTTGGGTTCATTTCTACATGCCAGGATAGCAAGTATCCTTTACTGTGTCTTTCTAGGAGTGATAATATTCCCATGTAGCTGTGTCCTGGGCTTTTCCTTGTCTTGATTCAAAATTTTCCGTCCAATGCACTGTGGTCCAAGCCACGGTCCCAGCTCCCATCCAGGCAGATGCTCTCTCTGTATTCTCCTGACCTAGTTCATAGCTGGTGCTGTGGAGGTTGAGATATTCCCAGCTCCTCTCGGTTCATAGTCATGTTATAAGCTCCTTTTATGTCAACTGGACAAAACAGTGCTCCTTCCTAACCTGGAAGTTGCTGTCTACCTCTTGGTGAAGGTCCCCAAGCTAACAGTAAAACTGTGGAATGAAGAAGAGTCTTCAGAGAATTAGGGCATGTGGGGGTAGTGGTGGAAAATTTACATACATATATAATAATATATATATGTATATATATATATATATATATATATATATATATATATATATAGAGAGAGAGAGAGAGAGAGAGAGAGAGAGAAAAGAAGATCAAAGTAGAAGGTAAAAATCCAGGAAAATATCTGTAATGACAAATCGCTGCTACAGGTTTAAGGTTTAAGATCCCATAAAAACAAATTTTGGTGAGAATATGGACCATCTGTCACCTTCATATTTGTTTGATGGGATGAAAAATGATATAGTCATTTTGGAGTTAACTAGACATTGTCCTTCAAAGTTCAAGCCAGAGCTGGGAGCAGAGGCACATGTCTATAATCCCAGCAACTTGGGAGGCAGAGACAGGGGGATTCCAAGTTCAAGGTGAGCTTTAGAAACTTAGTAAGTCCCTCAGCATTTTAGGGAGACTCAGTGCCAAAATAAAAAATAAATACATACAAAATGGATTTGGTCTGTAGTCCGTAGTGAAGCACCCCAGGGATAAATTCTCAGTAGCTCCCCCCGCACAAGGAAAAAAAAAAAAAAAAAAAAAAAAAAAAAAAAAAAAGTTGCATACAATCTCAGTGCTTTGGCCCAGAGGATTCTAATCTCAGGGCTTTACTGGGAAAAAAAAATAAAGAGAAGAGCACATGTCCACAAAGTGATTTCTGAAAATGTCCACACAAGTTTTATGTAAAATAGCCTAAGCCAGGCCTGAAGGTACACTTATTGCAATTCAGGTACTCAGGAGGTAGAAGGAGGAGGATTGGAAATTGGAGGCTAGCCTGGGCAAGTTAGTGAGACCCAACTCAAAATAAAAAGAGATGGAGAAGTACCTCAGTTTTAGAGTGCCCATGGGTTAAGATTCCACTAACAAGGAAGGAAAAAA